ACTTCAGACTTTAGTTTATAGTACTACATATACATAAATTAAAGTCTTCTTTTGTTCATAGTTTATACATAAAGTCAACAAATGATTAACATATTCTGAGTTTCTTTAAAATTTCCTCTATAATAAAGGTATCTTCTTATTACTTCAAATAGCTACCAAGGTATTTTTCAGATAGCCAAAAGTGAGAAAACTACTAGGAATTATAGCTAGATTCTTACCTTTTCGCCGCCTAGAATCTTTACTTTAGGACTTTAAAAAGTTTATTAATGGGGTTTGTAGCTTCGCAATGAAGTTGCTTGTATTCCAATTTCTAAACATGGTATTGCAATTACTCCATTTGTATAGTTCATTTTATCAGAATATAGCAGTGTAGTAGCAAATTCAAGATGAGATCAATATGGGACGTTAATTCTTAATTAATAGTCTTTTTTCTATTATCTTTCTTTCTTAAAAAAATAAATAATCGACTTCCATTAATCGTCTATAGAGGTTTCGAACTCGATGTTGAGCAATCTTTAATTTCATACTATCACCCCAGCAATTATTAAAATAAAAATAAAAAACGTTATTCGGTTTAGAGCATGTATGTATAATATTACTAAAACTTTCATGACCTTATTCTTTGTATTTGTGTGCCCCAATGGGTGTTACTTTACTTCTTTGTACCTTTTCCTTTTTCACGTGACCCCACCTAATTTTTGTGATGATTAGATTCAATTTATTATTTCAAACGACGATACTATATTTATTATTTAAAAAGAACTGATCATAATACATGGTCATAAATTAATTTCCCAAATGCTTTCGGCAAATTATGTCTAATCAAAGTAAAACGCCCGAGATTGTCAACTCAAATCAAAATATTAAGGTTACTTTTATGTAGGTCAAAGGCCATTATGCGCACGCGTGGTAAGTTTCTCTAGTGGTAATTATGGGATATTTACTGCTTCTTTTCATTAATTAAGATATTGTTACCACTAAGTTGATGCTTTATATGTAAGCGATCTGGCGTAAAATTAGCATTGATCCTTGTATATCGTGTGCTCCACTCATAATCCCTTTTATAATTGTTAGGTTAAGAGCTTGCAAATTAATTAAAAGAAGGGAAAAGGCTCTAATATATTCCTCTACTTTGTTAAATAGTACGTTCTTATCCCCCGTTATACTATCAGGCCATTTAAAGGCCTACCGTTAGGAAAGTGAAAAAAAATAGAGAAAATCTCACTTTATACCCATTAAATTCAAACTATTTATCCTTAAATACCCATACCTAAACTATTTACTACTCCTACCCATGGGGCCCAAACTATTTACCCGCCTCCTCCCCTTAATATGGAGCTTTTCAAGCACCTACCAATTACCCACCCCATCAACCTGTGATCGGTTTTCCTCAGCCATTTCCTCCTCCTGGCGTCACCGCATCATCACCTGAATATTATGCACATGGTTATTAGGCTGTTCCAAGTTCTTCTACCACCCTCTGCTCCTATGCTGTGTTCATGATTTTAATAGTTACCGCAATTAATTAGTCAAATGCCGAAAAAAATCACCTGATATTCATGATTTTCGTGAATTGTTGTTGCATTTTTCAGTGATTATGGGTGGGTTGACTTTATTGTACAAAAATTCAAATCCACCATTGAAGGACCTTGAAGCTTGAAACTCATAACTTGGTTTGTCTGAGTTTTTAATTATTTTGATCCGATCTTATATGGGTTTGTTTGGAAAGTTGATTGGAGGTTGTATCTAAAGTTTTAGTCAATTTGGTGGAGATTTTGTAGTAGATTTTAGAAATTCGGGTTGAAATGTAGTTGAACAAGAGAAGAAGACGAATTTGTATTGTATACTCAAATAGTACACAAATATACCATTTTGGTATACAATTCATTCCAACTATATACCATATTAGTATAACTATATACTATATTGGTATCATATGCTAGTTGAATCATTTTTTGGTTGTATTAGCTGCATTTATTAGTACAATATTTAATTTTCTTTTAATAATAGTAATATAGTTCAATATCTTGAAATACTTTATTACATTAATATGTGGTACACTATTTTTTTTTATTTTTCTCTTTATGCATGTGTGTTATGTAATAGTAGTATAGTCATATAGTTGCCGGGAATTAACCAGTAAAATTGTATACCGTGTTGGTATAGTTATATGCCATATTGGTATCTTATGGTAGCTTGAACATTTTTTTTGCTTGTTTTGGCTGTATTTTTAAGTGAATTCTATTCTAAAATTATTCATATGAACGTGATTTGCAGTGCTGGAAAATTTTTGTGCTGATGGATATAGATTATGTGTATTATGTAATAGTTTTTATAATTATAGGTAATTGTTGGACCGACCCATACAACTATATACCCTGTTAGTATATGGAATGAACAAGTTGCTTTGCGAATATTTAGCTTGCAATGCGAGCATGTAATTTTCTCATACTTTTATTGTATCCTTTAATGTTTTGGTACAGTAGTATAGTCACAGATAGTTGTAGCAATATTCTAGAGCAATCATATACTCTGTTGGTATACATGTATACCATATTGGTATCATGTGGTACTAGAAGTCTTTTTTGCTACTTATATTTTTATTGCATTTTTTAATATTTTATTATCATTTCTATTCTAACTAGTATATATGGAGATTTAGTGGCCGTAGATTATATTGTCTTGCTCCATCACTGGTTAGTGTTACTGCTAATGGTAGAGTATGTACTAATATTTGTAGGGAAGGAGATCAAGGTTTGCATGGCAATCACGTGGAATTAAAAAAGGAACAAGAAATAAAGAAAAAAATAAAAATAAAAAAATTAAGAAGGAGTCAAATTAGAGTGTGAAATAAGTTACGGTAAAAATAACAATAATACGATTTGGGCAAAAATAAATGAATAAAAGAGAAAAAAATAGGAAGAAAATGAGATAAAAAGAAAAGGATAAAAGAAAAGAAAAAAGGAAAAAAGAAAAGAAGCATAGAAATAAAAAAGAATTGGAGAATAAAGAAAATTCCCCACAAAAACTGCTATGGGTAGGAAATGTAATTAGTTTATGGGTAGAAAAACAAATGGGTAGACAAGGGTAAATAGTTTTGTTTTTGTGGGTAACTGTGTCGAAACCCCCCAAAAATACCCTTATTTTTAACCCCAGTCCAACAAGGCAATTAAAATGCCATCTGGAATCCACCTGGACAGATCCGACCCGTTACCCGTTAATATAACACGTTAGATGCCTTCTTCTTCCCAATTAAAATCTTATATACCCGTCTTTTAAAAAGAAAAGGGTCCCGTTTTTAACAAAGAAAAGGGTCACTTTTTCTTAGAAGGTGAGAGAACGACTGTGAGGCGATTTCTGCTTCCTCCTATATGCATCAATTAGCTCCGAGATTTTCTGTAAAATCCTTCAAATGTATAGTTTTTTTTTTTGTATTCTATTAAACTTGGTTGCTGTTATTTCTCTTATTTCTCCTATTTCCTTTGTTTCTTTCGATGTTAATCTTCTTGTTACTGAAGGTGATTTAGGGTTTTTGTTATACTTTATAGTTTAGTGTTTGCATGTGTATTTTCTCGGATGTAGTAAGTCTCTATTATGTTGATTTTGTATGGCAGTTTGTTTAGTGTAGGGTTTACATGTGGGACTGCATTTTATCTCTTTTTGGGGGAAAAGGGTTTTTGTTTCTGGGCATAGATGATTGTATATGGTCCCCAAGTGGGACATTTTTTCTGTTGTTCCTTTATTGGATGTTGTAAATTGTTGTTGTTTATTTAGAATTTGTGGTCCACCCGTAGATTTGTTTAATAATATCGAGACTCATGTGCCTGCCCTTTATTATATTCAATGTTTGACAGTAAAGTTTGTACTATTATATACTTTGATAAGTTTGTACTAATATTCATTTTTTGTTAACCCTTTTCTCTTATTTATTTTGTAGTTTAAGATGGTGAATGTGGACTTGTTATTCAATTATGGAGGTGACTGGAAAATAATTTCAAAAGTATTATATACAAGAAAGTTGGTGCACACTTGGAAACAGTATGATTCTGACCTTCTGTTTTTCATAGATTTAGTAAATGAATATACCTCATCTACTATAGGGTATGTTGGTGTCCAACAATTGATAATTTGTGGTCCTTCTGGTAGATTTTATGAAATAGTAGGGGATGATGGTATTAGGACTTTGCAAAATATGGTGTCTGAACATTTCAATATAATTAATGTATTTGCTGTAGAGGTATAGTAGTAAGTGGGGGTTCCTGTTCCTAATATTGTCGACCATAATGAATCACAAACAGTAGATTGTGAGGTTGCAACTGATTGTAGTTCAAATGAGAGTGAAGATGAGACTGTTTTTTCAGATTATGACTCTGATGATTTAGAAGTAATTGCACTACAAAAAAAGAGGGAGATTTCTGAAAAGTTGACTGAATACAAAGAGCTATACAAAGGAATGACATTCAAAGATATACCCGAGGCTAGAAAGGTGATAAATTTGTATTGTTTAGCCAACTGTTATGGTCTAAAACAACTCAAGAGTGATAGCATTAGACTGAGGTACAGGTGTGAGGTTGGCTGCGCCTTTGTATGTCTAATTTCTGAGGATAAGAATGGTGGTGGGGTTAAGATCAAAACTCTTAAGTCAGAACACAAGTGTAACCCTGCATATGACAACCGTAGGATAGACAAAAATACTATAGCAGAATATTTTAAGAACAAGCTGCAAGAGAATCCTATGATCAAAGTTAGGAGATGAAATTGACCTAAAAAAACACTTTCAACATCAATGTTAGCCATGCAAAGTGTAAGAGGGCCAAGAGAATGATACTTGAATCCCTTGCTGGTAGTTTTACTGATGAGTATAATAAGATAGAGGCATATGCTAATGAATTGAGGCTGAGTAATCCAGGGATGATGTAATAGTTACCTTATCCAAGGATGCACTTGCTGAAGGAAAAGGAAGATTTTCTAGGATGTATATCTGTTTTCATGCTCTTAAAATGGGGTTTAAGAGTGGGTTGAGACCCTTTATTGGCTTGGATGGAACCTTCTTGAAAGGAAAGGCCAAAGGTCAGCTTTTAGTTGTTGTTGCTCTTGATTCAATGAATCATTTTTATCCTATTGCTTGGGCTGTTGTGGATAAAGAAACAAAGGTCACCTGGACCTGGTTCTTGACATTGTTGAACAATTCATTAGACCTCAAGCTAGGGGAAGGATACACATTCATGTCAGACATGCAGAAGGTACTTCAATGTTATTCTTTTCAATTATTGACTGTTTCCTTTTTATTTTTAGATGTTTAATTTTCTGCATCTTACATATGTAGGGCTTGATTGAGGCAGTTCAGGCAGTACTTCCTGATGCACACCACAGATACTGTGTGAGGCACATAGAGGCTAACTGGTGTAGAAGATGGGGTCATGGGGATCTGAAGAAAAAGTACTTGTAGTGGTGTGCATGGAGTAGCTATGAAGAAGACTTCAAGGATCAATTGAAAAACTTGGGAGAAGTTGATGAAAAAGCTGCTGAAGACCTGTTAAGGTATCCTCCACAATCATGGTGTAGAACATACTTTGACACAGTATGCAAGAACCAACAAGTGGACAATAACCTAACAGAATCCTTCAACTCATGGATACTAGAAGCTAGGCATAAGACAATAATCAGAATGCTTGAAGACATAAGAGTCAAGGTGATGAATCTGTTGAGAGAGCAAAGTGAAGTGCTGACTTGGACTGAAAATGTAAGTCCTCATACCATGCAGTTATATTACCTATTCTTGAATAGTGCACCAAAATGTACTGTTGATTCTAATGGAAAAGATGGATATGAGGTGAATGAAGGAACTACTGAAAAGCATAGAGTGAACATCAACCTGAAAAAATGTACTTGCAGAACATGGGACCTCACTGGGATCCCATGTCCTCATGCAATTAGAGCATTACTGTACAAAAAAATTAATCATGTGTCTGAGATTCATTGGTGGTTCACCAAGGATGCTTATCTCTCCACGTATGCACGTAAGTTAGAACCAATTAGAGGAGAGAAGTTCTGGAATATAGAGCCAACTCATGCAATGGATCCGCCAATGCTAGTGAATATGGCTGGTATGCCTAAAGTGAAGAGGACTATAGAAAAGAATGAGACAATAAATAGGCAAAGGGAGTGGTCTCAATCCAGAAAAGGCAGGGTGACGACTTGTTCCACATGTGGAAAGCCTGGGCATAATGCTAGGGGATGTCAAAAGGTAACCTGACATAACCTTACTATATTACTTCTTAGCTGAATTAACAATTGTCCCAATTTTGTTACTTTATACCCTTGACAGCAAAGCAAGGGAAGCAACCACAGGTTGGTAAGAAAACATAAAAGAGGTTGAGGAAAACTGTTGATGATGATCATGAGGACAATATGGCTACATCTCCAACTGCTGTGTAACGACCCGGCAGGTCATTTTTGGAATTTACGCCCCGATCCCCCATTTACTGCTTCCCCTAAGTTCATTTCTGCTATTTTGGTTTGCCGGGACGTTCGGTGTTAGGATCCGAAGTGTTTTGGGACACTTAGTCCCTAAATGGGAGCTTAAGAGTTGGAAAATGGTCTGTATTCGGAACAGTGTGAAGACGACCTAGGAATGGAAATTCGATGGTTCCGTTAGCTCCGTTAGGTGATTTCGGGGTTGGAGCGTGTTCGGAATGTATTTTGGAGGTTCGTAGCTCATTTAGGCTTGAAATGCCGAAGTTCGAATTTTTAAAGTTTCCGGTCCGATAGTGAGTTTTTGATCCGAGGGTCGGATTTGAATTCCGGAAGTTGCTGTAGCTCCGTCATGTCATTTGGGATGTGTGTGTAAAATTTCAGGTCATTCGGGCGAGGTTTGGTTAGGTTTTTGATCGAAAGTGTGTTTGGTTGGAATTTGAAGTTCTTAGGCTTGAATCTTTGCTTAATTCGTGTTTCCGGCGTTGTTTTAGGTGGTTTAAGGATTGGTACAAGTTTGAATGATGTTATGGGATATGTCCGTAGGTTTGGTTGTGGTCCCGGGGGCCTCGGGTGTGTTTCGGATGCTCAACGGAGCAATTTGAAGTTTGGAAATGTTGCAGAAAATTGCAGGTCTGAAGTCCTTCTTCGCGATCGCGAAGAAGCAACCGCGAAGAAGCAACCGCGTTCGCGTAGCTGTAAATTTCCCTTCACCGTGATCGCGTCCCAGACCCCGCGTTCGCGAAGTTCAGCAATTCCCTCTTCCGTGTTCGCATCCCAGTCAACGCGTTCGCATAGGTCAACTTCTGGACCTCATCTGATTCCTTATACGCGTTCGCGTGAGCCTTGTCGCGATCCCGTAGCTTTAAATCCCATGCCTTCGCGTTTGCAGCCTTACCTTCGCGACCGCGGAGAGCATTTTTGGTCACTTAACTTTTCCCTTCTCCGCGAACGCGCGCCATTCTCCGCGTTCGCGATGAACAACTGACCTGGGCAGTACTTAACATTTCAAAAACGAGGTTTTGCCATTTTTATCAAAACTCAAGGTTTGGAGCTCGGATTTGGGAGCAATTTCAAGGGTTTTTCAAAGGCAATCACTGGGTAACAATTCTCTACTCTCCTACGACTAAAACCCATTAATCTAATCGCGAATTCACCCTTTAATTTCGGATTTTTGAATGAAAATTGGGTAAAACTTCTTAGACCTAGCTATGGGGTTTGAGGGGGCATTTGACCTCCGATTTGGGAGATTTTTATATGGTTAGACTCGTGAGAGTACGAGGGTTCTAAAAACATAAAAATTATTTGATTCCGAGATGTTGGTTGGAGGGGCATTTTGGTAATTTTACCTATTTTTGCGCCCTAGCTTTAAAATTAATAGTGGAATCAATTGTTTGCAATATTATTTACGGTGTGTAATTGAATTAAATAGATTTGGGCCATTTGGAGTCGGATACTCGTGGCAAAGGCGCGGTTTCTACTGATATTGAGCCGGTTCGAGGTAAGTGGCTTGTCTAACCTTGTGTGGGGGACTTTTCCCCTTAGGATCTTACTTGATATTTGAGTGCCTTGTGCGTGAGGTGACGAGCGCGTACTTGAGCCAATTGATGAAATCCCGGTTTTTACTTAAGCTATGGAAAACTTAGTTCTTATCCTTATTGCCTTGTTCTGTTTGGAGTTATGACTTATGCTAGATTAGGAAAAAGGCATGTTTACCTGATTTGACCGCCTACTTGCTTAAATTATTTTAACTGCACTACGTGAAGCATGCTAGGCTAGTTCTATCTGTGTTTGTCTTTCGTACCTTATTCCTTGGGTTGTTTTTGGCTGTGATTGCGCATTTACATTGGGACTACGGATGTGGGATTCCGGTAGCTCCCCCCTTGTTTGTTTAATTTGGGACTACGGGTTCGATTCCCGGGAGATCCCCCTGCATTTTTACTTTGGGACTACGAGACGGTATCCCCGGAGATCCCCCTGCACATTGATGATTGGACTACCGGACGGTATCCCGGGAGATCCTTTGATATTGGTATGTGAGTTGGACTATGGGACGGTATCCCGGGAGATCCACTAGACAGTTGAGGAAAGGGCTACAGGACGGCATCCTGGGAGACCCTCGTTGGTATCTTTGACATTGAGTTGTGTTTACTCTGTGATTTACTCTATCCTTGTAGTTATTATTGTTTTCCTTGACTTGCCTTATTACACCGCTGTATTTATTATTTCTGTCAGAGTTTCCATACTGTTAATTATTGCTATTGTTATATTTTTGCCTCAGTAGGGCCCTGACCTTTCCTCGTCACTACTTAACCGAGGTTAGGCTTGGCACTTACTGAGTACCGCTGTGGTGTACTCATGCCCTTCCTGCGCATATTTTTCATGTGCAGATCATCCAGGTACCTCCACTCAGGCGCACTATCAGTGAGGCAGGAGGATTTCGGAGACTTCGAGGTAGATCTGCTGCATCCGCAGACCGACGAGTCTCCCTCTTATTCTATCCTTAGTATTTAGTTTTTCTCTCTTCGGTTGTTAGAATATTCTGGAGTCTTGGAACCATACTATACATTTCTGTATCCTGTGTTGCCCGTGAGCTTCCGGGTTTTGGGAATAGTTTGGATTTGTGTTATCGAGTTGTACATGCCAGGCGACATTTAGTATAGTTTCCTTTTAGATATTTAATTTGATTTTCTCTATTTTTCCGCAATTATTATGTTTCCGCAATAATAGGCTTACCTGGTCATGGGGACCAGGTGCCGCCATGACATGTTCACGGTTGGTGAACTAGGGTCGTGACAAGTTGGTATCAGAGCTCTAGGTTCATAAGAGTCACGGAACACAGGCCAGTTTATTAGAGTCTCGCTGATCGGTACGGAGACGTCTGTTTTTATCTACGAGAGGCTATGTAACTGTTTAGGAAAAATCTTCATTTCTTTTGAATTCCTTGTCGTGCGATATTTTGACATCAATTCTAAACTTCTGTCTTCTATTCTCTCACAGATGGTGAGGACACGTGCTACACGAGAGGACCAGGCACCCGCGCCCCCCGCTGCCGCCTTTAGAGGCCGGGGCCGGGGTAGAGGTCGAGGACGTGCGCGTGGTGCAGCCACAGCACCTGCGCAAGCTGCCGCCGAGGTACCACCAGCAGATTTGGCCGGAGCCCAGGCACCTGGTATGTCTACCACAGCTACTACTACTCCAGCGCTCCAGGAGACTCTGGCTCAGTTCATAAGCATGTACACCACCTTGGCTCAGGCCGGATTACTTCCCCTTACTGCAGCCACATCCCAGGCCGGGGGAAGAGCACAGATTCCCGCCGTCCGCACTCTCGAGCAGCGAGTGCAGGTTGAGCAGGCTCCGGAGATTATTCCTGCACCGCCTGCAGCACCAGTACAGCGCGGGGAGGGGTCAGCTGCTTCAGAGGACGAGCAGCGTAGACTAGAGAGGTTCAAGAAGTATGATCCTCCAGTGTTCAGTGGTCTAGCATCAGATGACGCCTTGGGATTTTTGGAGGAGTTCCATCGTATCCTTCGCACCATGGGTATAGTGGAGTCCAGTGGGGTTTCTTTCACGGCATTTCAGCTTCGGGGAGCCGCCTATGATTGGTGGCGTACCTATGAGTTAGACAGTCCAGTCGAGGCTGCTTCGCTGACTTGGACCCAGTTCTCAGACATGTTTATGAGGGAGTTTGTTCCCCAAAGCCTCAGGGATTCATGGTGCGCGGAGTTTGAGCACTTGCGCCAGGGTGCTATAACAGTTTCAGAGTATGCCATCCGTTATACTAGGTTGGCTAGACATGCACCGGCTTTGGTTGCCACAGTTCGGGAGAGAGTCCGCAGGTTCATCGAGGGCCTTATTCCGCCTATCAGGTCTAGCATGGCTCGAGAGCTGGAGATGGATATTCCTTACCAGCAGGTAGTGAGCATTTCTAGGAGGATTGAGGGTATGCTCGCCAGGGAGCGAGGGGAGAGGGAGGCCAAAAGGTCTCGAGAGTCGGGTCACTACTCTGGTGCCCGCACCCCATCAGCAGGTCGTTATGGTAGAGGTTATTCTAGTCGCCCTGTACATTCAGCTTTGCCAGCAGCCGGCAGTACTCCAGCTCCGCCTGCACCTCAGGAGCCTTATTATGCGCCTCCAGTTTCTAGTGCGCCTCCTGCGCGGGGTACTTCCAGAGGTCAGTCCAGCAGGCCTAGCCCCAGCCAGTCACAGCCACCTTGTCCTCCCAGAGCTTGTTTCGAGTGTGGTGATACACGTCATATGGTTAGGGACTGCCCCAGACTTGGTAGGGGTGCATCTTCACAGAGAGGGGTCGGGCCAGATATTATTGTATTCTTGCTCGCACTAAGGCGGTTGCCTCCGATTCCGTCATCACAGGTATTATACTGGTCTGTCACAGAGAGGCATCGGTTCTATTCGATCCAGGCTCTACTTATTCTTATGTGTCTTCTTATTTTGCTTCGCATTTGGGTGTGCCTCGGGATTCTTTGAGTGCCCCCGTTTATGTTTCTACTCCCGTGGGAGATTCTCTTGTTGTGGACCGCGTTTACCGGTCATGTTTGGTTACTATTCGTGGTTTTGAGACCAGGGCGGATCTATTAGTACTCGGTATGGTTGACTTTGATATTATTCTGGGCATGGACTGGTTGTCGCCCCATCATGCTATTCTTGATTGTCACGCCAAGACCGTGATGCTGGCTATGCCAGGCATCCCACGTATTGAGTGGAGTGGTACCTTAGATCACACTCCCAGTAGAGTTATCTCTTTCCTTAAAGCTCAGCGTATGGTTGAGAAGGAGTGTGCCGCGTATTTAGCTTATGTGAGAGATGTCAGTGTTGATACCCCTTCTGTTGATTCAGTCTCAGTGGTACGGGATTTC